CGTAGCTAGAACTACAGGCACGTGCTACCACACCTGGCTAATTTTTTTTATTGTAGAGATGAGATCTTGCCAAGTTGCCCAGGCGGGTCTCGAACCTGTGGGCTCAGGCAATCCACTCACCTCAGCCTCCCAAAGCGCAGGATTACAGGCTGAGCCACCAAGCCCGGCCAAATAAAGTTTTATTGGAACACTGCTATGCCCATTTATTTACTGTCATCTAAGGCTGCCTTCCCCCACTACAACCGCCCAGTTGAGTAACTGTGACTGAGACTGGATGGCCCACATAGCCAAAAATATTTACTCTCTAGCCCTGTACAGAAAGGGTTTGACAACTCCAAAGTGGAACGTTCCATATCAATAGGAGAGGTTTTCTTAAAGTGCTTGAGGACTTGAGAAGACAGGAAACAAATATTTATTTGACCCGCAGTGTGCAGAGCTGGAAGGAATATGCAGGTGTGCTCTGTTTTAAGACTCGGTGCATGAAAACCCAGACTTTCAAACAGATAAATTAAAAGGTAGTTATTTGCATAACAAATTTTCCTTTCATTTTATAAAGCGATTCGCCACAGAATTCCTTTATAGAGTGAGCCTCCATAATACATGCTAATGTGATTCCGTTTACAAGTGCCCTATTCATTATAACTTTTCAAGAATATACCTATTGTGTATGGTAGGGCTTGACTATGATCATGTTTTCCTGACAGTGTAAGGTTTCCTACTTCTGAAAAGTAATTGAGCTGACCTCGTCAATTCTCTGAGGGGGGAGAAAGCAGCCTCCTCCATTTCCTCCAGGAAAGGCTTTACCTGTCGAACAGAAAAAGCAGAAAGGCTGTGGATTCCAAGTCTCTGCTTTATGTGACGTTAGGTACCTGGTATCACTTACATTTTTCACTAAGTTCCTCTTGGTAGCTGCAACCAAAGTCCTAAAATGTATACTCTACTCACTATTCTCTTGCTTTATTTCATATACAAGATAAACTAATAAAAATTACATTTGTTGCTAATATCCTGATAAATATGCAACAAGCAATATTTATAAAAAGCAATGTTTCTTTCTCTTTGTAAAAACATTTAAAGACATTATCTTCTCTGAATTACAACATAAATCGGGCAAGTATTCAAATAAGAGCTTTCCTCGCAAAATAGGAAGTGGTATCAATTTAGAATCCATCTCCCTCTTTTGCTGGGTCCTGAGCCTGAATCTTCACATAGCTTGGTGGTGTTATGCAATTGCCCTTTTTAAGAGACATAAAATGGAAACCTTGGCTATTCATAGCCAACTTAGGAGGAGCTGAAATTGTTCAAGAAGTTTCTTGCCCGGTACCATTTTGATGGTAACTACATGTCTCTGAGCAAATCCACTTATAATCTGGCTTTCAAATGGAAGTTATTTTAAAGAGGTGTCTCATAACTTTTGTTTTCATCCTCTATGGTGGCTATATTCTAGAAGTAGGCAAGCATTCCTGGTATATAGCCTGAACATTTTTTTTTTTTGAGTTGGAGTTTCACTCTGTTGCCCAGACTGGAATGCAGTGGTCGCTCCCAGCCACCGCAGCCTCGACCTGCTGGGCTCCGGCAATCCTTCCGCCTCAACCTTCCAAGTAGCTGGAACTACAGGCGCGTGCTACCATGCCCGGCTAATTTTTTTATTTATTGTAGAGATGAGGTCTCGCTGCCCAGGCGGGTCTCGAACCTGCGGGCTCAGGCAATCCACTCACCTCAGCCTCCCAAAGGCGCGGGATTATAGGCTGAGCCACCAAGCCCGGCTAGCCTGAACATTTTACAGGGTTTTTTTTTTTTTTTTTTGGCGGTGAAAGAAGCTTACATGGAAATGCAAGGGCAGAGAAAATCATGTCCAGGGCAGTCCTGTGTGGCATCACCCCGTGGTGAAGCAGATCTGTGTCACCAGGCCACTAATGGATATTGCATGCAACTCATAGAGAGGGAAGTGAGATAGGCAGAGGGCTGGGGAGAAGCAGAACTAGCGTTGAGATCCTACCAAAGGCATCGTCAATGGGGTTGGAAGGGTGGGTGGTGGTGCTGCTGGAGGTGGCTTGGCTGTCCCTGGAGGCTACAGCTTCTCACACTATATGGCAAGTATCATTTCAACCATTTCTGATGCCTAGCACTGAAAGGGAGAGCACATTTAATCCATCTATGAGAGTCTCCAAAGACGGGGGTCTCTCTCTTCATCTCTCCCAGAGAGCTAAAGCACTGAAATTGAAATCAACTGCATGAAGACTCCATTGCATTCTTGAATTCAGGCTGTTGCACACTTTCTCCCTCTCTCTCTGTGTCTCCCCACCCCCCCACACCTCCCTTACCTCTTCTTTCTCCCTCTCTCTCTCTCTCTCTCTCTCTCTCTCTCTCTCTGAATTGTTGCTACCCAGTTTTTAACTCCATCATGGATATTCTTTTGCCTCGCAGATTAGTATGTAGTAATGGCGGGTACAGATTATAAAATAAATGGATAAATACTGCATAAACTATATTCAGTCCGTTTTCTTTTTTCCCTGGTGGTAATTTTAAAACTTTTCAAAATTAACAGTAATGGAGACAGAGGAATGGGATATAAATTTCCATGCATTTTTCTAATCAAACAGAAGACTGATCCCTGGGGGTAGCATATTTATCATTCTGTGCTATTAGGGGTGCTTCAAGGGAAGAGTTTTCAGATCTCTGTGATTTGAATGAAAAGAGACCATACTCCACCCCACCCTACCTTGAACAAACAGCAGCCTGGCAGATTTCATTTCACAAATGGAAATAGAAGCAAACAAATGTTTTCAAAGTCATTTCATGAAGAGTGGGCCTGTTTAATTGGGTTTTTTGAGCCAGGATGAATATGATAAGCTGGGGAGCTCTGTGATATGCCAGTGTCGTCCTTTGCCATACTGCCTGCCTCCTGGGGGAAGGGAAGGCAGAGAAAAGCCCCACTATTCAGAGGCAAATTTACCTCTGCTTCTGCCTTCTCACCAAAGGGATTTACAGCCAACCTGGACCAAGCGCCCAAGCCTAAGCTGAGCTACATGGAATGCTGGAGAGATCTTCCCAAAATCAAGGTCATATCTAGAGCATGCCTTGGATATTTTTTCATCTCTAATTTATGTAACTTTCTAATATGTTTAGCATTTGCCCTCCCCTTGTCTCCATCCTGCTTATTAAGGTAAATTTGCATAGAAATGGGATCTTGGTTTTTAGGACCATTCACCTGACACTTGATCCCTTGAGATGACCAGCATCCACAGTTGACACCATGAGGATGACCCACAGAAGCTGTGTCTCCCTACAAACCAGAGGCTAGGCCTTAATTAGGAGGAGGCTTGCATGTTAAAGTAATGGGGCGAAACAAATCAGCAAAGGCATTTAGCATTAACTAAGGAGGGCAGAATACTTCTTCCTGTTGAATGGGTCATCCTAGGCCACAAACATTTTGATTTGCCAGGGATAGACAGATCTTGAAGTAAGTGCACAAAAAGTGTATTTTCGTTGTTGTCATTTGGAAATAAGTTTTGACTCTTGATAAAGCTCAGAGGGTTCACTATGACATTTTCCTTTGGCTCCTGAGCTACTTTTTGCTTAATATCAACCTTTAGGTGAGTAATATTCATCTCTGCAAATTACCTGTAGAAGACCAAGCAAATGTGGAGAATCAGAGAAAGGAGACCCTTGCTATCATCCACTTGCAGTCGGCTCTAATCCTCTGATCTCCTGGTGCTGCCCCCCTCCTACTGGCAGCCGCATTTCTCATTTACCCAAATCGCCTCTCCTTGGGTAGGAATTCCCACTGAGAGGACAACTGTGGTCCCAGTTTACTTGTCACTGAAAGTCCATTAGGTTTGAGAGTACTCATTAACTAAACTAAAGGGTTTGCGACTTAGGGAAATTTTGAAAAACAACAGAACAACAGCTCTCAAGATTGTCCTGACGGTAAGCCGTCTTAGCAGAGAATCACAGGATTTGACAGTCATGGAGACTAAATATCAAATTTCTTTTTTTGTGTGTTTTTTTTTGTCTTTTTTTTGAGTTGGAGTCTCACTCTGTCACCCAGACTGGAGTGCAGTGGCTGCTCCCGGCCACCGTAGCCTCGACCCGCTGGGCTCCGGCGATCCTTCCACCTCAGCCTTCTAAGTAGCTGGAACTACAGGCACACGCAACCACGCCTGGCTGATTTTTTATTTATTGTAGAGATGAGGTCAAGTTGCCCAGGCGGGTCTCGAACCCACGGGCTCAGGCAATCCACTCACCTCGGCCTCCCAAAGTGCTGGGATTACAGGCTGAGCCACCGAGCCCGCCCAATATCAAATTTCAGTGAGAAAAGTTCACAGGTGATGAGCGAATCAGAAAAAAAACTTGTGCTACCTTTGCTGGGGAAAAATTCATTCCATAAAATTACTTTAAAATAAATACTATGTAGCTTTATCTTGTTTACACCTAATATAGTTTACATCTATTATTTAATTTAATCTCACAATTATTAGTTGAATATTATTATCTCCATTTTATGGATGAGGGAACAGACTCCAAGAGGTTTAATTACTTGCCCAAGAGGTTTAATTACTTGCCCAAGATCATATAGCTATTTACCAACAAAGCCAGGATTCGAGCCAGCTCTCTTGCCATCACTATCCCACTGTCTCCTAAAAACAACTCCACATCATACTCAGTGTAGACCATTTCTTTATGTACTAATTTATTTATTTATTTACACAGGTCTCACGTTCCAATTGAGTCTCCCAATTCTACACCAAAATGCCTTCTACTCTCAAACCATGCAGACGAAAGCTGAGTTCCCTACTGGCCAATGCTGTCTAATTCTCTTAAATGATTCCGATGTAAAAGAGGAAATGGCATCTGTCTAATTAACACTGCCTGGTTAAATATAGCTGCCAAGGAACAGTCTTGGGACAGTGTTTACAGAATAGTCTTTCCAGCCCCTCAGGCCTCAAGTTACAGCCGATAGAGCCTTCCATCCTTAGCTACTAGAAACAGAGATGCCCCTAGAAGTGGTGTCAGGCCAGGACAGGCAAAGGGAGATGAGAGGAGGGGGAAAGGCTGTGACTAGCCTTCATTTCCTTCTCCTGGCATCTGGAGATTCGGAGAATGATCCTGGAACCCAGATCCTAGAGACTGCAGCAACTCTTCCCGCAAACATAAGCCCTTGCTGTGCACCGAAGTCTTGCTCTCTGGCCTGGAGACGTTCAACCAACCACTCCATGAACTGCTGACTGCCAGGTGCAACATCAGCTCTGCTGCCCTCCTCCTGGTCGAGAGGAACAATGACCACGTTATTTCTCTTTCAGCTTCTCATCACAACATGGAAGCTGTTGCCAAGTTTGATTTCACTGCCTCAGGTGAGGATGAACTGAGCTTTCACACTGGAGACATTCTGAAGGTAGGTGGCATGGGGCCCCAGGGGAGCCATAGGGGGTTTAGGTTATGCCATTGGCCAGAGGTAATCTAACAACCACGCCATTGTCTCTTAAGAACTGCATGCAGTTCCTTTTAAAAAGAGAAGTTCACTTTGATCCAAAGGGCCCCTTTTGGGTACCCATGTGCCAGACACTAGGCAGGTGACAGACACAGAGTCGGCATAAGCCACCATCCTTAGTCTGAGATACTCGTGGTCTGGAGGGAGAAACACATTCATACATATGCCTGTTACAGATGCTTTTGGCTAAGTGCTCAGGGAGCACGGGTAAGGTAATAAATGATTCCACCTTGGAAGATGAAGTGTGTAGGAATGTGTGCAGCATGAATGTCAGGAATGCAACAAAAGTGTGTTGGCCTCTTAGTAAACCTCAGAGATGTGTGAGCCCTTGCTGAATTCAGGGAGCATCACCAGATTCAGCAGTGCTAGAACTTAGGAGGAGAGGGCGTGAGTGCAGACAGCCTGGCAAGGGTGGCCAGAGCAAATGTGGCTCAGCAAAGGCCATGCACACCTGGCCAGTCCGGAGCTTCTCAAAACGTGTCTTCAGCCTGCACTTCAGTTGTAGTGGCCACTTGCTGAGCTGAAGTGGCCTTGGACTTCTCCCACATTTCAAGTACTTAAGACTCTTAACCCTTGTTTCTTATTGCAAAAGAACACAAGCCCTTCAAGCAGTCATTCGGGAGTATGGGAACCCAAAATCCCCATGCCTGACTTCAAAGCATCCTCATGTATCCTGATCCCCTGTCCTCTGCAGCCGCAATGGGCCCTTTCAGATGCCCAGCGACACTAAGGCCATCATTGTCTTACCACCGAGATTTTGCTTGCAATACAAAGAACCCTGTCAGCGTGTGAGAGGGTGACTCTGGGAGGGCATCTGTGGAGCGTGAACCATGTAGAATTATTTCTTTTGGAATTTGAATGTGCCCAGTATGTAGCTTTCTAACTGTTCTCAATCACTGAGAGCTAGTAACATGGTGGCAAAGCAGAGGCCTTTGCCAACTCCAAATATTGGTTGGGCTGCTGACCTAGAAAAAGGTGACTTTCACTGTCTTGGAGGCTTTTGCCATGTGATAAGTCCTTCCTTCTCTGTGGGCATCATGACCATGTGATTATCACCCATCTAAAGCATCCTTGGGCCAACTCCCACCCTCATCTTCCATTGCAAACAGAACCTAATATCTTGCTTGAGTTTTCTCTATCTCCCAGAAAAGGAAAAGGGGGAAAAAAAGAACTTTCCTCAACTTTGCTTCCCAGTCCAACTCCTAATTTCTTCCATCTCTTTTGTTGCCAGTACTGGGAGGAATTCTCTACACAGGGTGAGCTCCACTTCTCACTTCCCATTCATTTCACAACCTTCTGGAATCTGCCTTTTATCTCCTGACACTCTTTTGAAGTCCACCAGTGATCTCCTTCATGTGAAATGCAACGGCCCCACTGAAATGCCTGTGGAAGTCAAAGCTGCTAACAGTCCCTCTCCTGGAAGCTCTTCCTGCTTCCTTCAGTGGCACCACCCTTTCTTGGCTCTCCTCCTTTCCTCCTGAGCACTCTTACAGGTCACTTTTGTGAGTGATCCTTTTCTCTCTCTCTCTATCCTGAAAAGGAAGTTTTGCCTTCAGCTGTCTGATTTCCTTTTCACTCTGTAGTCTCATCACTTCTCTGGCTTCAACTCTCACCTCTGTGTCAAAGACCCTCAGGTCTATGGCTCTTGCTCTCGCTCTGATCTCTCTCCTGAACTTCAGACCCACACTTCCAATTGTCTGTTGATGTTCCTTTGTGGACTCCAGCTTCTAACTCAGGATGTTCAGAATTGCTCAAACCCCTGGGCCCACCTCACCCCCACTTCCATCCAAACCACTCCCCTATTCATGGTCTAAGTATTATCTTAGGTCAGTCACCAAGCCAGAAGCCTCAGAGATCATCAGTAGCTCCTTTGCCAAATCCTGGTGCTCAGTGTGCAGGGCCAGGATCTGGCTAAGAGGTGTGCAGGAATGATTTCATCATCTCAGCAAACCTATGAAGCAGTCATAGGTTTCCTAAACTTTCCTCCACTTTACAAATGTGAAGCTGAGCCTAAGAAATCAAATCATGTGTCCAAGTTCACAGAGCTACAGTGTGCTACATCAGGATCTGGATGGAGCTCTGTCTGACTCCCAAGTGCTATACTCTGCTCTGAGTATTTTTCTTTCATGCAAATTTATTCTTCACTGGAAAGACGTGAGGCAATAAAAAGAAGCATAGACTTTGGAGTCAGATAGATCTGAGTTTGAATCCCAGCTTGCTAGCTGTGGGCCAGGTCACCTGCCCCACTCTAAGCTTTCGTGTATTCCTCAATAAGTGGAGGTAGTATCTATCTTGCAGGGTTTTGGAAAGGATTCAGGATTTAGAGATGAGGGTCATGGTCCAAAGCGGATGCTCACTAAATAGTCACCATATTATCAGTATTATCCATTCCCGCTGCCTCTGACTGCTCAGACTATTCCCACAGCACCTTGATTGACCTCATTTCCTCCTTCAATCATTCTACATACTAGTCCCAGAGGGATCTTTCTAGAGACAAATCAGATCAGATTATTTCCTTGCTCAAAAGCGTTTAGTAGTTCCCCATTACCAATTGGTTGAAATCGAAACCATCCTACCATTCAGTGTCATCATGTGCTTTCTGCATGCATGTGTGCACACACACATACAGACATCTTTGCGGACACAGTGCTCCCAGGTCACACTGCAATTTATACAATGTCCTTTCTCAGGCATTCTCTGAGTGCCCTTCTCCTTATGATCACACACATACTTGACCACCTTTGCATAGAACCCTCATCTCCCCTTCCTTGTGATCCCAGCAAAGCCAGTTACTCCCTCTTTAGCTCTTCTCCAGGGTTTCTCACACACTTCACTCATTTCCAGGCCCTATGACCTTACCTCACATGATAGTTATTTATGAGTAGGCTGTGACTCCATGTTCTTATGCACCCTCTGTTTCCAGCTCTTATTGCTGCCCTTACTCTATGGGATCCTAACTGCCTGTTATATGTTGGCTACACCACTGACCAAAGCCCTCCAAATGGGTGGGACGCTGTCTGCCTCAGTGTCTGGAGCAGCAATGCCTAGAACTCCCTGATATGAATGAATAAACTAGTGATTCCTCCACTGATGAGCTCCCTGAGAACAGAGCCATGCCAGGTTCTTCTTTTTATCTTTGCAGCATCCAACAAAAGTAACACAAGTCACAATCCAAAATAGGTGCCCAGTGCATATTTCTTGAATTGCTAAATTGCATTTCTGAATGCTCATGTAGAATTCCATCAGAAAGCTAGCTCCCTCCCTCTTTTCACATTCTGTCCATTGTAGCTGTAGTGGTAAAGAGAAAAATGGAGGGGCTTGTTGACTGAGCCTCATGGAATGTCTGTGTGATGGTGGTTGGGCCCATACCTGGGGCTCCGCACATGTGACAGCAATGTCTGCCTCTCCTTTCCCAAAAGGGGTAACACATTCAGGATCCTCCCAATTATTCTCAAAGTTAGTTCTTGCCTGCCCAGCAATTCTCTTCTGGGATGCTCTGACTTTTGTTTGGCCTTTAGTGCTAAAGACTAAACAAGAATTTTTCATTAGAAAGTACAGCAGAGCATGGTGGCGTATGCCTGTAGTCTCAGTTACTTGAGAGGCTGAGGTGGGAGGATCACTTGGGTAGCAGAATCAAACCTCATCTGTAAAAGAAAGAAAGAAAAGGGGTACCAGCCCTAGACTTACATTTGAATTTACCATTGAATTTGCCAGTAGCTTTGAAAAAGGCGTTGTGACCCAGTGCATTTCTATCTGCTCCTGCAATGCATCTGACTCGACCCCACTTCTTACTACTAAAACAGTGACCTAAAAACACTAAGAGTTAATTCTACCTAATTAACTTCTTTAGTACTTTAGATTTCTGCTATGCCTCTAAGAGCTATAATTTCATCCAATTTAAAAAATTTTCCAGCTGTACTTTTGGTCCTTCTCTTCCCACATCTAACTTATTCTCAGGCCACATAACCCAGAAAATTATTGTCTTAGGGAACATGAGAATTAAGATGCGGTAAATTTAAGTGTAAAACTTCAAGTGTTTAGGCCAAACTCCTTGCTCAGGTTGACATGATGGGTACAAGAGATAGGGAGAACCGAACAGATGAAGAGATGAGAAGAACAGGAAGTAGGGGGCCCTGGGCCCACAACGGCAGGAGGAAGCATCTCCCCCTCGCCCCTCAAATACCTTTCTTTGCAGAAAATGAGATTTTTTTTTTTTAAACCTCACTTTCTATTCACCATAAAAAGCCTATAAATTCACCTCTCTAGAAACACAGTCTCGGGCAGACCAAACACCAGGTGGTGGAGAGAAATGGCTGGCTTTGTGGGATAGATAATCTTTCAGTTTCTAGAGGAAGTAGATGAGTACGAGCCACGATTACTAAAATGACAGCAGGTTTCAGGTTAGAGAATGATGTACAAAGTGTGGTTCTTATGATGATAAGCCAATTTCCAAATGGCCTCTTTTACCTTTGTATTTGACATTTGCTGCCCTGGCCAAACACTGCATTCCCATGTGACAGGAGAAAGGAATTCCAAAGTCATAAATTTGGGAGCAACGGGTGGGGTGAAATGTTCTTGTGTTCTTTGTGTCGCTACGAGGCCCTGCTGCTGAGCTTCCTAGTTCTTTTGACCTAGATTTTCTGCTTCCTCCGTTGCCCCCCTCAGCATACACATACCCACATGTCCTTAGTGATACCCATAGTCACATTTGATGTTAGAAACTATAAAGTTTTCTGTTCTCAGCAATCTCCAACTCAAATATGGGACACACTTTTATTTCTTCAGAACAAATGATTAAATTCAAAACATACACACATAATGCTTTAAAAGGACGTATAATCCCTTCCATGTCCTTTGGAGCTGGAGTCCTCCCTCATAAGAATATCACATTTGATGGAATCATATTTTTTGAAAAGAGTCTACACTTTCTGAAGGACTTTCAGGTGCCAGGGCTTATTTGATCCTCACATCAGCTCTGTGAGGTGCTACATGGTTATTATTGCCTCCATTTTTCAAATGACTAATTGACCTGCCCAAGATCTCACAGCTAGTGACCGAGTCAAGTTAGAAACCAGGTCTTCTGGTTCGACACTCAGTGTTATCCTCTTCCTTCCCCCTTGGTAGTGATGTTCGAAATGGGTCACTGTCTCTTCTCAAGGACTTAGTTCTCTTTCAGTTCTTTTCCCATATTTTTCTCCATGAAACCAATGGGACCCATGACTTCAACTCCACCCACTTCCAGTTGACTCTGAAATCCCAAACTCAGCCTCCCTCTTGGGTCCAGATTTCACAACTGCTCCCTGAGCTCTTCTTCTTAACTGAAGAATTCAACTCAAATTCACCCGCAGGCAATCTAAAGTCCCTGAGCTTCTCCTCAGCCCTGCCCCCCATTCCTGTATTTTCTATTTTCGTAGAGGCATCACCACCTACTCAGTCTCCCAAGCCAGAAATCCAGAGACATCCCAGAATTCCCTCCTCTCTTAGCTCCCAAGAATGATCAAGAAATCCTGCTTGTGTTGCTTCCTGAATTGCTCTAAAATATGCCCTTGCCTCTTCTTAGCCTAGGCCCCATCACCTCTTGCTGAAGGGCTGCACTCATCTTCCTAGGTTCTCCCCTACTTTACTCCTTGCCACATTCACACTGATGCAGAGCTCTTTCTTAGTTTGAATTCTTACTGTTACTTCCCTTCTCAACATCCTTTCATGGCTCCCCATACACTTCAAGGTAAAAATCTAAACTCTTCTGCATGGGCCAGCCGGCCTTGTGTGTCTGGCTTCCCCTCTCTCTTCTCCTGGTGTCACAGTCTACACTCCAGCCACACTGAGGTGTTGAGTTCCCAGAATATGCCACACTTTCTCACAGCTGCAGGAGAAAGGAGCTCCTCCTTTGACTTTGCCTGAGTGACTCCTTTCATTCCTATCAATTTCTGTTTTCTCCTTTATCCTCACACTTCTATCAGTTAAGATATTTTCAGCTATAAAAGACTTCAGTGGCTCAGCCTATAATCCCAGCACTTTGAGAGGCCAAGGTAAGCGGATTGCTGAGATCATGGGTTTGAGACCAGCCGAGGCAACTTGGCGAGACCTCATCTCTACAATAAATCAAAAATTAGCTGGGCATGGTAGCGCGTGCCTGTAGTTCAGACTATTTGGAAGGCTGAGGCAGAAGGATCACCAGAGCCCAGCAGGTCATCTCTGGGGTGGCCGTGAGCATGCCATTTGCACTCCAGCCTGGGCGACAGAGTGAGACTCCAACTCAAAAAAAAAAAAAAACCAAAAAACCCAGAAACTAAAAATGGTTTCAGCAATAACAAAGATTTACAATTTCTCAAAGTCCAGAAGCAGGAAGGCTCCTGGGTGGTTAAGTCAGCAGCTCAGTGACATCATCAAGGTTCTTTCCATCTTTTGCTCTGCTGTCTTCATTTAGAATTATTGTTCAAGTCTATGTCACAAACTTTAGAAACACTCTCAGTAGGGGTGGCAAACATTAATGGTGAATCTCATTTTCTGAAATAACCAGAAGCCACACAGAGTCAAGTCTGGTGAGAAATATGAGTAATCAACGGAGGTGATAACATTTCGGGTCACAGTCAAGGTAAGACCATATAGTAAGGAGACAGGACTTTGACTTGTGATCTGACTCTAAAAGCAAGTTTAGAAAAGAGATCCTGAGTATCTTTAGCTCTATCTAAACTATTTGTGAAACACACAGAGTGTGAATACAAAGAGTTACTGTTTTCAACACTGGCCACACTTGGATGTTTAAATTTTAATCTACTTTTTTAAAAAATAAAATCAAATTAAATTTTAAGAAGTTTCCTGGCTACCTGACAGAGAAAAAAAACCCCAAAACTATGGAGTAGCCATTCATGCCTTCCCACCATCTGCTCTGTGAGAAACTTAAGGTGCTAAGATCTGGGACAAATGAATTTCTAAAATAGAAGGAGAAAAAGATTCAGGGAAGTCCCTGAGTGCCAAGTCAGAGGGGCCAAGCCATGGTGGGGTGACATGAGTGGCACAAATGGACAGAAATAACTTGGGATCGAGAGAAGCCAAACTCCAAAGATAAATCCACTGCTCCCCTACTGGACTCAGGGTAAACCCTGCAGCAGCAGTTTCATTCCCTGAGCTTATTTTCCTCTGAGTCCACAAGGGCTTTCTTTGCCCTGAAGCCCCTTTCCCCTGTTTTTTGGTATCCAACTTGCAGTGTCTTTGTCCTTCCTTCTCTTCCTTGTAGATTTTAAGTAACCAAGAGGAGTGGTTGAAGGCAGAGCTTGGGAGCCAAGAAGGATATGTACCCAAGAATTTCATAGACGTCCAGTTTCCTGAGTAAGTATTGGCAGCCTGCTGAGATGGGCTTGCACATACATATTCCTCTTATTTTTCCAATGGTCACCAAAATTATCCATGCATGCTCAAGACACTGTCAAAAATGGCTGCCTCTGGAGATCTCTCCCTGAACCCTCAGAACCACGAAGTTGAAGGCCAGGGCAGGAGGGAGATTGTGCATTATATTTCATTCCCTTTTGAATTTTACACCATGTGTATATATTGCCTATTTTAAGTTTTTATAACATAAGATGTTTTTGTTGGGTTTTTTTGAGTTGGAGTCTCACTCTGTCGCCCAGACTGGAGTGCAGTGGCCACTCCCAGCCACCGCAGTCTCGACCTGCTGGGCTCCAGCGATCCTTCCACCTCAGCCTTCCAAGTAGCCGGAATTACAGGCATGCACTACCACGCCCAGCTGATTTTTTTTTTGTTTTGGTTTATTGTAGAGATGAGGTCTCGCTGCCCAGGCGGGTCTTGAACCTGTGGGCTCAGGCAATCCACTCACCTCAGCCTCCCAAAGGCGCGGGATTACAGGCTGAGCCACTGAGCCCGGCTTAACATAAGATGTTTTAAAAATTTTTTTAGAGGCAGGTCTCACTCTGTCGCCCAGACTAGAGTGCAGTGGCATGATTATAGCTCACTGCAGCCTGAAAGTCCTGGCTCAGGCGATTCTCCTGCCTCAGTCTCCTGAGTAACTAGAACTGCAGGTGTGTACCACCATGCCCGGCTAATTTTTTTTTTCTTCTAGAGAAGGGTGTCTCTCTATGTTGCCCAGGCTGATCTCAAACTCTTGGCCTCAAGCGATTCTCCTGCCTCAGCCTTCCAAAGCACTGGGATAAAATAAGTTTATAAATGCAAGTCATCTATAATGATTGCAATCACAAGGTTTCCAAGAATTTCAAACGGGGGCACTGTTGGCCAACCCACTTCAAGGAACTTCAGCATGACTTCCCAGCCCTACCTTCCTTCCCAACCAAGCTCTGGGCCCTTAATCAGTGGGTGTGTGGACACTCCCTGCCTTCCTTAAAGCATGCTTACCCTAGTGAGAGAAGTCAGTGGAGGAAAGGGAAAATTTCCTTTATAAAGAGGAAATGAAATTTGAGATTGGGTTTTGTGTGTCTCAAGAATTGACCACAAGAGCTAGATAGAAATCTAATCTTGTCTCAGGACCACAGTCTAACCTGAAGAGCAAAAGTTGGTTAGAAAACTAAAGTGGCTGGGCACAGTGGTTCATACTTGTAATCCCAGTACTTTGGGAGGCAGAGAGGAGAGGATTGCCTGAGCCCAAGGGTTCGAGACCAGCCTGGGCAGCTTGGCAAGACCTTGTCTCTACAACAAATAATTTTTTTTTTTTTTTGAGTTGGAGTCTCACTCTGTCACCCAGACTGGAGTGCAGTGGCCGCTCCCGGTTACCACAGCCTCAACCTGCTGGGCTCCGGCAATCCTTCCGCCTCAGCCTTCTGAGTAGCCGGAATTACAGGCATACGCTACCACACCTGGCTGATTTTTTGATTTATTGTAGAGATGAGGTCTCGCTGCCCAGGTGGGTCTTGAACCAGCAGGCTCAGGCAATCCATTCACCTCAGCCTCCCAAAGGCGCAGGATTACAGGCTGAGCCACCGAGCCCGGCATAACAAAATTTTTTTTAAAAATTTGCCAGGTGTGGTAGCGTATGCCTGTAGTTCCAGCTCCTTGGAAGACTGAGGCAAAAGGATTGCCTGAGCCCAGCAGGTCGAGGCTGCAGTGGCTGTAAGCATGCCACTGCACTCCAGCCTGCATGACAAAGTAAAACTCCAATTCAAAAAAAAGAAAGAAAGAAAGAAAGAAAACTAAAGTGACTCTAATGAGGTGCAACAGCTTATGTTGAACCAGTAGTGACCACGGACCAGGAAAATGACAACTGACTTTCACCGGGCTCTTGATGTTGCCTGGTAATCAGCTAAGTCACCACTGCATACCTTCCCTGCTCCTCAAACCTGCAATCTCTCCCCCACCTTCCTCTCAGCCCATGGCCTTGCTTCCAGATCCCACTGGAACAATGAAAGTCTCCAGAAGAGAAGCTCCCTGTATTCCCACCCCTACTCCCACCCCCACCACATCCATCTGCCTCCTGCAACTGGGCTCAGACATTCTGCCTTTCCTGCAGCTGTTTGGGAGGAACTGTCACTACTTCTAGCAGAAATTCTCCCTCTCTCTCCCACATCAACCTTCTTTCCCTCTCTGCTGCATTATTCCCATTAGCAAACACATGCAGTGATTTCTCCCAGCTTACCAAAAAAACAAACAAACAAAACAAACTCTTGATCCCAAGTCCCCTTTTAGCTACCTCTCTGTTTCTCCGAAAGAAATGTTTGTATTGGCTATTTCCAACTCCTCATCTCCCAACCTTTCCTTTCAAGGTCCTAGTGGACTCCAGGTCCCAGGGGTCAATTCTCAACCTTCATCTCAGCTGATGTGACCTGGGAGACTTCCTCCCTCACACTGAGATGCTTTTTCCAGTTGGCTCCTCCTGCCTCCCTGGCGGCTTCTCCTCAGTGTCCTTTGCTTCCTCCTCATCGCCCCATTCTCCTTCAGAGTAGAATATCCCCTTCTCAGCAAGGTCTTTCTCGTCTCCCCAATCCCTGTCCCTCTTCTCTGTTCTTATTTCCTCCATAGCACTTGACACCGTCTGACCCACTACATATTTTAATTATTTTGTGTGTGTGTGTGGGGGGGGGTGTTTTGAGTTGGAATCTCACTCCATCTCCCAGGCTGGAGTGCAGTCGCACACTCACGGCCACCGTAGCCTCAACCTGCTGGGCTTAGGTGATCCTTCCTCCTCAGCCTTCCAAGGAGCTGGAATTACAGGCACACACCACCACGCCTGGCTGGTTTTTGTGATTTATTGTAGAGACAAGGTCTCGCCAAGTTGCCCAGGTTAGTCTAGAACCATGGGCTCAGGTAATCCACTTGCCTCGGCTTCCCAAAATGCTGGGATTAGAGGCTGAGTCACCGAGTCCAGCCTTATTTTGTGTTTATTGTGCCCCCCCGACACACACACACTAGAATGTAAGTTCTCTGAAAGCAGGAGTGTTTGTCTGTTCTGTTTACTTCTGCATTCCCAGTGTGCAGAAGAGGGCACAGCACAACAGCAGACATTCGATGAAGCTGTTAAATTAATGAATAGCTTTGGAATGATATATAATTTTTTTTTTTTTTGAGTTGGAGTCTCACTCTGTCACCCAGACCGGAGTTCAGTGGCCGCTCCCAGCCACCGCAGCCTTGACCTGCTGGGCTCCGGCGATCCTACCGCCTCAGCCTTCCGAGTAGCCGAAACTACAGGCGCACACTACCATGCCCGGCTGATATTTTGATTTATTGTAGAGATGAGGTCTCGCCAAGTTGCCCAGGCAGGTCTTGACCTCAGGCAATCCACTCACCTCAACCTCCCAAGGTGCGGGATTACAGGCCGAGCCACCAAGCCCGGCGATATGTAATATTGAAACTCTGGCCACTTGTGTCTAATAGTGTGTGGAAATTTTTTCAAATCTTCAGAGAAGCCACTTATGCAATTCTAGTCAGAAGACAAATGTGCATTTCCTGAATCCCCCAACTGCCTGTTGCCTCTTCTAAAAGATTTCCACTGCAGCACTGCTGTGGGGCGCATCCCATTCCTTCCCCTGTCCCCTTACATTTTCTGCACATAGCAGTGGTGCGGTAGTCACTTGCTTCACCCTGTAGGGGTGTGTGGCAAATATTCTGGCAGGGTCTCCAGGTCATCAGAAACCTACTTTCAGCCTCCTCAGAGCACAGTCAACCCTCCCCTGAGCTCCCAGGTTGGGAATAAGTACATCCTTCCTGCTACCCCTGTCTCAGAGTGCAGTTTCCCAAATTCTAGAAAACACAGAGAATCACTCACAAAGGAATCCAAAGCCAAGTCCTGTCAGCACTTATCTTAAAGGGACATGTGTACTAGCCTTCCGGTGGTAGCAATTAGAGCAGCCACTTTGAAGCAATGTGACACAGTCCCACCTTTGGCTGCTGAATGATTGCAAACACTCATTTTGCTTGTCTATGGTTGAGAGAGGTTTCTGGCTTTCTGCCCTGAGGCTGTAGCCATTGTTTGCCTTGCCCTGTGTATGCATTTGACCTATTTCATGCATGCCACACCATGTGCAGCAATATTTCCAAGGGCTGCCACCCTGACTGTCCTCCTGGAGGAGCAGTTTCTCCTCTGTTTCTTCTTTTCTATAGTCAAGATCATTTTCACACCGGGATTTTTTGGGAGAGGGCCCAGGGGCTAGTGGTGTAGACGCTGCTCTCTGGCCGCTGCCAGGCTCACTTATCTCCAAGTGTGTATGCACAGCTCCCCAGGTGCCTTGCAGGCTCTGCTGGGCACACAGAGCAAAGTCCCCTCATGCTCTACGCCAGCCCACGTAGCAAGACCTCCTGGGTTGTAACTCTCCTTGAATGCCTCAGAGAGGAGTCTCCAGGCCTCTTAGTCTCAGCCCAGGAGTGAGCACCCCTGGCCCTGCCCAAGGCCTGAAGCAGTCCCTCCCTTCTCCAGGACATGTCTGTCCCTGCAGCTCTTTTCTATCCCTCCCAAGGCAGCTGCTTCCCGCAGTGAGTCACTCCCACACGGCCCCATTTTGGTGCAGTGGCACATTTCCATGATTCAAGTTTCCCAAGCTAGAGAGAGACTTCTCCTGGAGGGAAGGAACAAAGAGGGTGAATCAAGGGGAACAAACACTCACTCGCCTTTCCTGAAAACTGCTGAGAGCATTGGTCTGGTTTCAAATAGCGTCGGCCCTCTTGGGTGTCTCTCTGCTCTCTACTGCGCAGAGTCCCCAGCCTGTCCCCCTCTGGGTCACCTCTTCTCCATGTCTTCCTCCTATCATTCATGTGTCTTACCTGGATCCTCTCATTTTATCCCACTCAATAGATGGTTCCATGAAGGCCTCTCGAGACACCAGGCAGAGAACTTACTCATGGGCAAAGAGGTTGGTTTCTTCATCATCCGGGCCAGCCAGAGCTCCCCAGGGGACTTCTCCATCTCTGTCAGGTACTGGCCACTCTCAATACCGCCCTGACCCTTCTCAGCCTGTAAATCCCAGCCTGTTGAAGCCATGAAGTGACCTCTTAAACTTGATCTAGTGATCAAAAGTATGATAGCCAAGGAGACCAAGCATGAAGGGTATCTTAACAACTGTGCTGCTATCCACTTCTTTCTAACACGCACACATAACCACTTAGCACATTGGTTTGTGTTCAAAATTATTTATACATTCAGCTGCCTTCCCCCAGCCCAGGTGCTTCTGGAAGGGTAAGATTGTTCTCTACTTCATCTTTATGCCTTTAATAGTGCCTGGCACAAAATAGACACTCAATGAGTATTTGTGGAAGGAAGGAGGGGGGAGGGAGGAGGAAAAGAGAATTCCTACTTGTCCACATCCATCTGGGGGTTGAAACTTTTCTTTTACTACTAATGTGTGTCTGAAGAAAGGTTGGAGAAATATAAAAATCCCAAGTCACTGCTGTAGGATATATTGGGGCAGAAAAGGTGGAATACCTTTCCTCACCCATCAGGAACAGCCAACACTCCTACAATGAAAGACAGGTTAACAAGATAAAAGCATATTACATTTATTTAGTTTTCTGTGACACAAGAGCCCTCAGAAAAGAATACCCAGACTTGCAAGAAAAACTCAAATTTTTACGCTGAGGTTCAATGAAGAGTGGACAGCCATGTAGAAATGTGGTTGGACAAAAAGGATATAATCTAATGGTAATAGACAGGTGGAAAACCCAGCAAGACTTGTCCAGATTCTTCTAGGACAGATTCTGCTCTCTGTGTGGCACTCCTTCTCTCAGGTATGGAGCAGGGCCTTTCTGGAACAAGGGTCTTATAACCTACTATCGGACAAGTTAGATCCGAGAATTTCTTTATAGCCAGCCCCTACATAGAAAGGCAAGAGAAAGTTACAGTAATATTTCTAGGTTTTATGGTTTGCTTTGGGGGAGAGGGTTTCTAGTTTCTATGACCTACCTGAGGGAAGAGGAATTCGGGTTTCTAAGACTCACTTTGGGAGAGAAAGAAGAGAGAGAGATGGGAGGGCAGAAGGTCAGAGGGAGACTTTGCTTCTGAGACTGCTTCTGAAGCTTCCAGTCTCCTTTGGTTCAAAGCACTCAGCATGCCAAAGGGTATCATTTTCCGAGCCCTGACAGATACATATATAGTTGTAGGCAGCTGAACAAAAAGAAAGGCTACCTCAACACAGTACAATACAGCAAACCCAAGAACAACAGAACAGACCCAAGGAGTGCCAAGGGTGGGGGGACCATAACAGCGAAATGTCACTCGTGTGCAGCACCCAGGAGGAAGCGACTCAGTCCAGGCATAGATATTTACTAGCCCCAAACTCAGAAGTCCCAAGTCTGAACACACTGCATGTGGTCAGCGTGTTGGGGATTACAAGTCAAGTATCAAACTTGGTGACCACATGTGAAAGTTCAAGACATAATGCTGATAGATTAGGAGAAGGCATGACAACCTGTATAGGAAAACCATGTTGTCAAGTTACTTGACAGGAAATACTGGATTATTTCATGTATTTTGAAAGGCATCAAGTTCTATTAGTTTTAAGTACAGAAGTCCAATATTGGGTAACAAATTGTGTCTACTTTGCTGTTTAGAAAGAGTAGATACTTTAAAGTAGGAGTCCCCAACCCCCGGGGCCACAGACCTGGTACCGGTCCTCGCAGCAGGAGATGAGCAGTGGGCAAACAGAGGTCTGCTTTCTGTCAGATCAACAGTGGTGTTAGATTCTCATAGGAACACAAACCCTATTGTGCACTACGCATGCAAGGCGTCTAGATTGTGAGCTCCCTATGAGAATCTAATGCCTGATGATCTGAGGTGGAGCTGAGACGGTGATGCTAGCACCAAGGAGCAGCTGCAAATACAAATTAGTATTAGCAATGAGGTTTAACTGCACAGCCAACCCCTCCTCCAACCCCCAGTTTGTGGAAAAATTGTCTTCCACAAAACTGGTCCCTGATACCAAAATGGTCGGGTACCACTGCTTTAAAGAATAGATGGAAAGGACTTAGAAATAATGAGTCAACCATTTGTATGCACATGTGCCTCTAAGGTGCTTGAAATAGCTTGGTCTTTTTAGTATTACCCTTGCAATCTTACTTAAACTCTTAATTTTCCTTAACCCAAACTTTCTTTTTTCACAGTTTAAGCAATGGTAAACTTTAGCTCAGACCAATATGGATATATCACAAATTCTGAACTTGTCTTAATTAATGAAATTTTGCTCCATTAATATAGCTTACAGGTTAAATCTATTTGTTAAGCCCTTCCCCCAGCCCTATCATAAACTGCACCAAGTAATTTGTTAGATTGAAGGGCATCTCTTAGTGCCTTTGGTTTGTATGAAAATAACTCTAGCTTTTTCAGCTAGAAATTATGCTTTATATTTCCTTTATTAACATGAATTATATAAAACAGTCAGCCTTGACTTCTGCCAAAGTCTTCCTTCCCCTGATGTTGAGGCAATGCAGCTTCTTGTTAGGGTGACAATAACCATAATCACTATCACATTTTCTGCAGAAATGTAGTATAATATATTCCAAAACAGAATCATTTTTATTTGTTTTGACATTGGGGCACAGATAATTAAGAGCTTATTGTAGATTTATCACTTTGCCTTTGTTAATGGGCTGAAACACTAGATTTTGGAGTTTAGAGCCTAGAGTTACAATTTCTTTCTTTGTCGCTCTGAGGACTTGAGTCAATGGTCAGGCCATTCTCTCTCCATAGACCCAGATGACCAGCTGCAACCCTCACATCCATCCTTGCAACTTATAGAGTAAAAGGCGTAATATTTCACACTGAGTTCTTTGACGACGCGGTCATGGATGAATAATGACAATATTGCAAGAATATTTCCTTCTCCTCACCCAGATGTGAGGAGTAATGACTACAAGTTGAGCTATGCAGTCTTAGAGTGAAGAAAGTGTCTGTTCGTGGCCAAAACTAAGGGGAAAGACATGCAGTGATTCAGTGTTTGGGTCACTACCTCCAAATCAGCCAAGCAAGAAGTTACTGTACAACCTTTGGCTTCACTTGGCCAGGCACAAAGCTCAGCACTTAAGAAGAGATTGAGGGTTAGAATCTGTGTACCCTTCTAAACACAGATCCCTTAGTCCATTGCTAAGAAGCCTCTACTTACCTTTACTCTCCAAGAACCCTTCTTTTTTTCATTTTTATTTATTTATTATTTTTTATTTTTTGAGTTGGAGTCTCACTCTGCTGTCCAGGCTAGAGTGCAGTGGCGCATTGGCATGACCACAGCTCACTGTAGCCTCGACTTCCTGCACTCAGGCAATCCTTCTGCCTCAGCCTCCCAAGTAGCTGGGACTACAGGTATGCACCACCACACCTGGCTAATTTTTTTATTCTTTTTGTTGAGACAAAGTCTTGCTATGTTGCCCAGGATGGTCTCAAACCCCTGGACTCAAGTGATCCTCCCACCTTGGCCTCCCAAAGTGCTGGGATTACAGGCATGAGCCACTGTACCTGACTTCCAAAAGCCTTTAAATTCTCAATATTTCTTCTGAATCAGTCAATGGGTATAATTTGTGCCAGTTTATTTATATATATAAATGTATATCCATTTGAAAAATAAATGTTTATGTCCAAAAGAGAATGACTTTGCAATGGAATAAGACTGGATCTAATAGTAAAGACCTGGCACCCTTCCCAGATGGATAAAATCTATTTCCTCCAGCCCTGGTATGAATATGCCATGCCCCATCACTTGTGAGTCCAGATTGGTATCAAAAGGTGCTGATCCAAAAGAAGTTAGTGTGTTTTTTGTTTGTTTGTTTTGTTTGTTTGCTCCCGGCCACCACAGCCTCGACTTGCTGGGCTCCGGCAATTCTTCCACCTCAGCCTTCCAAGTAGCTGGAACTACAGGCGTGCGCTACCACATCCCACTAATTTTTGATTTATTGTAGAGATGAGGTCTCACCAAGTTGCCCAGGCGGGTCTCGAACCCGCGAGCTCAGGCAATCCACTCACCTCAGCCTCCCGAAGGCACGGGATTACAGGCTGAGCCATGGAGCTGAGCCGGCGAGTTAGTGTGTTTATGCAGCGTCATAGGCCAGGCTTACCAGACTGGAATCAGAGACTCAAGGTTTCTGCCTCAGCCCTGCCACTCACTCACAGTGACCTTGACCAAGCTCCTGTGCCTCTCTGAGCCTCAGTGTCCTCTTCAGTGAAATGGAGAAGTAAAGCTAAAGAATTTCTGAGATCCTTTCCAATTAAAATGTACAACTCTATATGATGCTTTTTTCCCCCTAAAAGTTCAAACAAAATCTTTTTAACCTTATTTTTGCAAAATATCAACCAAGATCAAGAGATCCTTATTATGCAGCAAACAAATGTGACATATTCCTTAGGGAAGAGAATAGCTTCCTACCTGCCAGTGCTATTTTATGGGCTTAGAGGAGATGGTTCAAAGTATTTCTGATAACAGGTAGATAACAGGGATTTGAAAAAACTCTCCATTGCCAAGTCCTTAGCACAGTACAAGACTTGGGTGTTGCCATGTTTCAAATAAACATCGTGAAAAGGTCTTTGATCTCTTAGTTGTTAAAGCACTTGGAATATTTTTTTCTTGTAATAGGTTGTTCTAGTGTCCAAGGCAGATTCCAGCTCATCTAATTACCTTCTGCTGAGGTAAAAATCCTCTCTAGTATAGCCTGTCCTAAGTGGTCCGTCCCACAGACCTCTTGCTGAAGCCTGACTGGGCCAGTCCACCTCCTAGTGATGAGTGGGTCATCCATATCTACATCTCCTGCCCAAGCAGAACTCCATCATCCTCAAATGCAAGCAGCCTGGAGGCAGGGACATTGTTACTATGTAACATACAATTTGGATTGCCTTGATCTCCAGGCATGAGGATGACGTTCAGCACTTCAAGGTCATGCGAGACAACAAGGGTCATTACTTCCTGTGGACTGAGAAGTTTCCATCCCTAAATAAGCTGGTGGACTACTACAGGACGACTTCCATCTCCAAACAGAAGCAGATCTTCCTTAGGGACAGAACCCGAGAAGATCAGGTATGATCCAGGTCCTGACCGACCCCAATCTAGAGATTTTAGGCAGTCCAAGTTCCCACATGAACCAGCAAGAAAATGCATTTGATGGAGAGATCCTCTGAGCATTGTGAAAAGCAGAATAACACTTAATTCAGATCTCAGTTTAAAATCCTAGCTTAGCACTTTCTAGTTTTGTAACTTTGGATAGTTTTCCGATCCTCAGTTTCCTCACCCATAAAATGGGGATAATGTTTATCTCTACTTCACAGGGTGGTTGTGCAGGTTAGAAAAGATAATGTTTCACCATCCCTTACACCATTCCTAATCACACTGCAAACTGTCAACACACATTAGCTCTTCTCGAGGATTCTCTTGTTTTCTTATTCATAGATATTGCTGCACAGTTTTCAGCCGAGCTCAGAAGTTGCCCAAAAATGAAGGAGCCAGGGGACTGCAGACAGGGATATTAGGGAGCAACCTAGAGCTCAGGACAAAAGCAGCAGGTGACAGTTTTATGACGGATTAGGGTGGGGGTGGGGAGACGTGGGAGGAGAAAATTGTCCCTGGAGTTCTTGCTCTGGGAATTGTTTGAAATGTAGAGTATTATTTTAATAGAAAATGTATCAGACCAACCTGGCCTCGAACCCTGATTTAATCACATAACTACCTGTATTGCCTAGCCAGGATAAGAAACCTTTTGAGTATCAGTTTTCTCATCTGTAGAATGGAGAGAACCATAATTCCTCCTTCACTGGGCCATTGTGAGGATTAAATGAGGTAATATAGCTAAGCACTGCCACAGAGTCTAGTCCGCAGTGGGCACTAAAGAAATGTTAACTTGCCTTCCATAAGTAAATTCATACAAACGCATCAATTTATAAACTATTTTTCAAAGGAAATAGCAGGTTATAAGAGACGCATATTATAGAAACAAGCATTCACAAGAACCATTGAAATCCCGGGAATAGGTTATTTAAAAAGGCATTGAGACTGTGAAGGCAACCTGTGCTTTGAGGCAATAAAGAAAACCCTCCCTTTCAGTCCACAGGTGTTTTTAAGCCTGAGACACTGCTGTCAAAGGAGAAAATGGTGTTCCCACCAAGTGCACACAAAAGTTCAGAAATAAAACAAAGGTTAACCAAGACTTTGTGAATTATTTTAACCAGGAAGCGGACAGAGGTATTAACTTACTAGGATGTGTATTCAGAGATTAGAAAGGCAAAATACAATTACATTAAACTGGATTAAATGAGTTACCCAGGCTGGAGTGCAGTGGCACACTCACGGCCACCTTAGTGTCAACCTGCTGGACCCAGGTGATCCTTCTGCCTCAGTCTTCCAAATAGCTGGAACTATAGGTGTGCGCTACCACACCCAGCTAATTTTTTACTTATTGTAGAGAGAAGGTCTTGCCAAGTTCCCGGGGCTGGTCTCAAACTGCAGGCTCAGGCAATCCACTTGCCTTGGCCTCCCAAAGTGCTGGGATTACAGGCTGAG